CCATGATCCATGGTTGTCCTAGCTGTATACCACCCATAATGGAGAGGCCCATGAACACCACATGGATCACTATCTTGAACAGATGACGCAGAGTGTCACACCTGTTGCCACAACAGCTCAGGTTGATGGGCATTCTCCACTTTCAGCATCGTCAGTCTCTTTTTTGCTGGTTTCAAGTGCCACGAGCATAGCTGGATGTAGGTTACACTGGTCAGAGAAGGCTTTGGAGTTCTGTAAAGACGACTACCCATTCAGTCTTGGACTTACTAGCCCTCATATCATAATGACAACTCTTAGTCATATTTATGGGCCTTTGCAAGCCTGACACCTATGAGAGGACTTTTTTGAGACCTGACTACTCCCTCTGACAGTAATCTTCCCTAATTAAACCTAATAATGCAAGATTCAAGAAGAACACTGTACTATTCTCAAGTTCATTGATTTCTTCTAAATGTAATTGGATGGCATCTACAAGATAACAGGAGTTCGACCTCAGAACACAATCAAAATGAATGTATTAATGGAGAACTCTAACGAATGTGTAGTTTAAAAATTTTTGGAAGTATTGAGGAAATATCTTTCAAACTTAGAAAAACAACAACACAGTATTATATACTCAACATCATAGTGTAATTCTTATCAGGATGCGTGTGCCACTTACATCACTGGTGGTCATTCCTCGTGATATCGCCTGACTTGCCAGTATAAATATTTCGTCAGCTATTTCATAGTATAATGTACTTTATCTGTCCCATGATAAAATGCACGTGATACCTCAGGTGAATGACCTAAAACATTAAGCAACTAGAGCAAAAATAACTTAGCCACTTTATTGCCCAATGTTCTATTTTAAGCCTACATACACTTGTGTGCGGGAAAATAAAAGGATAGAAGACATCTATTATGTCTTCATACTACAGAAGTAGCCTGAATGATTAAATACATTTCACGATACATATACATATGTGTGTGTATGTGTATTACTGTATGGAAACTTATTTTAGCGTACACACATAAGCCATACATTTAGTGTTCGAGAAAAAATATTTCCAAGCACCTGTTTCAAGAGTTAGAACACACAGAACTCTATATTTGCTGAATCCGGTGATTTTACCAATATGTCTTCCTATATAACAACATGAATACCCATTTCATTTTCTAGTCGCTTGAGGTGTACTACAATTGAAAATATATGTCATGGAAGCAGCTTGTATGCACGTGACCTGTGTCACTTTTCCTGACGAAAATTCTTATTGATTGCATTGGACACTGTTATGTGAGATAGGTGGACGCCTTTTGCCACTAACCTTTACACTCAAGTATTCTCACTTGTTACAAAACGACGCACTTTCCTTACCATGGACGTGTACGAGTTGCTGCAGGTTTCTTTCTAAATGGTTCTGGTGCCCTGCATTGAGCCATATTCTTTTGCCTTCCAAAGCCACGAAGTACAAGGGATATCCCCATCTTTGAAATGATAAATGCCCGATCTGAGGGCATCTCTGTGATATGAGTATATGAATATTTTGCATCGTAAAGGCCTGTTACATACTCTTCTCAAAAATGGTAAATTTTCGGTCACATTACACTACTTACTAACGCCAAACAATGTCAAAACATAGTTCTGATCCATTCGGTTCCACCATGACTTTATACCGGCTGTGTTGTCACGTGACTTGTTGGTTTGTTTATTCATAATCATTTTAATATAAGGTACTCAGTCCTTTGTTTTCTATCTTCGTATGTTTAGTTTTCGTAACCGAGTTTGTTTTTTTCAGAATATTTTTGTCGATTTTTTAGCAGCGGTACAGCGGCTCATAGAATGACTCTGGAGTTTTGTTGTTATTTTAAAGTACAAACTTTTATCTCATAGCTCCGTCACCTTTTGACCGATATGAGATCTAATTACAGTTGTGGACTCAGGAGATTCATACCCTTCGATTAATGTATCTGACCACGCCCAAGGTCTCATAGATTAATTTACTTTAATCCTGCCTAAAGGAATTTCAAGTTGAGGGTAGGCTATTAAAGATCATGATGAGTAATAAAAGCAAATCGGGTATACGTGCGCCCCACGCTTGGTATTGCTGGCGCACAAAAATATAGCTAATAAAAAGTGGGGAAAAGGGTCTCATAGATTAGTCCTGCATTAAAGGATTTCTAGTCCCGCGGCTATTAAGGATTTCCTCTTGTTTGTACACAAAAGAACTTTATTGAAGATGAACCACAGTTTTCTTTGACGATTGGCATAAATACCTTCCGAAGTCCATCGTCTAATACAGTCAATATCAATGAGACATGATTTTTTTTCTGTCTGGAAATTATAGTTTTCTTTAGGTGAGGAAATATACCAAACATGACTCATTTTACCAGTGTCAACGAGCTTTTTTCTTAGTGGTTTGATGTGTTACGAAAACAATAGTAGAATAAGAAACCAAATGTGTTTAGAAGCTACAAAAATGAACCAATGTATTTTAATTATATAATCCTAAACATATTTCAATCTATGCTTTTTGTATATTCAACAAGGTGTTGATAAAAATAAAGTTTAATAAAGTATATTGTAACTCTAATTGCTTTTTAGGAACATTTAGTTCACGACATCATGGTAAAAACAAACATGCTCAGTTAGAACAAATTAATGGGAAAGTTGCTGCTTAAATAAATAATATTGTTTGTTTGTTTGTTATAGATTTCGCGCAAAGCTACACGAGGGCTATTTACGCTAGCCGTCTCTAATTTAGCAGTGTAGGACTAGAGAGAAGGCAGCTACTCATCATCACCCACCGCCAACTCTTGGGCTACTCTCCTACCAACAAATAGTGGGATTGACCGTCACATTATAACGCCCCCACGGCTGAAATGGCGAGCATGTTTGGTGTGACGGGGATTCGAACCCGCGACTTGCAGATTGCGAGTCGTGCGCCCCTAACCACCTGGCCATGTCAGACCTAAATAAATAAGAAATACCAATAATACGATATATATATATATCAGCAGTTCCAACCAGATTTATGCTAAACAAATGTTTTAATTTCATATCTTAAAAAGTATTTAAAAAAATTAAAACTGACATAAAGAACAACAGGGCCTTTTCTAAAAATTATTAGTATTTAACTAGCGTCAAAATAACATTAATTTTAACAGTTTTTGAAAACAGTTTCCCTTAAACGAACATGGCCTGGTGGTTAGTGCTTTCGACTCGTAAACTACGGGTCGAGGGTTCAAATCCTCGTCACCAAACATGCTCGCCCTTTCAGCAGTGGGAGTGTTATAATGTGATTGTCAATCCAACTATTCGTTAGTAAAAAAGTAGGCTAAGAGTTGGCAGTGGGGTGTGTTGAATAGTTGCCTTCCTTCTAGTCTATCGATGCTAAATTAGGGACGGCTAGCGCAGATAGCTTTCGAGTAGCTTTGCGCGAAATTCAAAACAAACCCTTAAACTATTGTCAAATTTTATTGATAACACAGGAGTTTTGAAAATGACTGCTGTGCGCATGATTACAATCAACTAAATATTACAAACATTTTAGTAATTTTGGCCTTTAAAATACAATAAAGGTAGAAAAAAAATCGCAATGCTACATTTGGAGAAGACAGTACATTCCCGCTATTAGGAATAGAAACTGCTTTTTCTTGGTTAAAGAACCAACAGAAAACTGTTATTTATATAGAATCGCATGTTAATTTATTGGACACTTTTTTTTTTTCATGAAACATAATTATGACCTTCAGGTTACTATTAAGTGTATTTTATGCACATCAGTTTTATGTTCATGAAACTGTGCTTGATGAAGTAAACTGCTCTACGTTTTTCTTCAAGAGATATCCTGTAATATTACAATATAGATAATTCAAACATCCTTCAAGAGAAGGAAGACCCCTACCAAGATGACCCGAACCTTAAGGAAACCCACGCGATGTCAAGACAGGTGAAATTCGTGTGGCCTCAAACTTGTACCTTATCTTAGACACAAAGAACAAGTTACAACGGAACCATTCAAAAGTATGCTTTGGAGATGTCTTACTGGTTTTGAATTGACACGAAACTAATGTTTCACTACGAAAACACAAGAAATATAAAAAATAATATTCAGAACGACAATACAAATTCTATGAAGGTTCTTAATGATGCGCTAACTTAGAAGTTCAAAATTTTGTTGTTGTTTTTCGATTCATACACTAACTATAATAAATTCCCTATCATCTATGAATGAGATTCAATACAGAAGTGTAGGTTTAAATTTTGATAAGTCCGTTTATTGTTATAGAAAACGTAAAAGTCGAGTATTAGATGTAATGTTACATGACTTACGCACTTACAAATGCATAAATTTATCTGTGAATGACTGAATTTAAGTACTGAAAAAATTACTCATTCAGCTTTGTTTGTTTGAAGTTAAACACAAAGCTACACAATAGGCTATCTGTGCTCTGGCCACCACGGGTGTCGAAACCCGGTTTTTAGCGTTGTAAGTCCGTAGATTGGTGTTTAGTTATAAAGTATGTTGGTAGCTTACTTTGATCTTAAGTTAATATTAATTATGCCCCCCAGTGGCACAGCGGTATGTCTGCGGACTTACAACGCTAGAAACTGTGTTTCGATATCCGTGGTGGGCAGAGACAAATAGCCCATTGTGTAGCTTTGTGCTTAATTACAAACAAATATTAATTATTTATGTCGACTTAAATGGACGGCTTGAAGACACGTAATGTACATCGCCCTTTAAACATTAAAGGATATTTATCGGATTGAGTTACTAAGTGTGAAATATTGAAAAATGTGAAGAAGTAGGTGGAAACTGTTATAAACACAACACTGGGTTTTTTGTTTACTTTATCAGCATGAAGCGCAAAATACAATACCCTTTGTTAATAGAGATTAACAAGGTGAGAAAATCAGATAGGATTTGATTAAGCCTTTATATTTACAATTATAATTAGGACATTAGATCCTAATAATTCAGTAAAGATAAATAGTATAACTTTCAAAGCCTTACGTAGAAGTACAAGGTGACCTCTTGAACCTGTAGAGGACCACACTTATGTAGGTCATCATCACAACAGCCAGTCTGATCTGAACAACGATGAAGTATGGTACAGCGAGGAACGTACTGCTTGGAGGAATCAGGAAATATATCTTTCACCCGAACTACCTGAGGCCGGGGTATTTTGCACGTGGCTCTACTCCTAACCTCCAGGAAGTGATCGTTTGCTTGGCGTACTTCTTCAAGCTCTAGACAAGTAACAAATCGAGGTGAACTTTGACTATTCACTTTATAGTTAACTCAACCAAACATTTGAAATATAAAATGTGTGTAAAACTCAGATATCTCATTATTGTGTAATGTACGATACTCTACTACTGACTATATACAAGTAGAGGCATATTACACAAAAATGATGTCTCTAAATGGAAGCAGAAAGATGGGCAAGTAAACAAGATGGAAACTAGGGAAATATGACTTTTCATAAAGAAACATTTCTTCATTATTTTTAAAAGCTTATATTAGAGAAGTATTAGAATGAAATTTCATATGTGTTGACCTGACTTAAAAGAAAATATTACTTTGAAAAAATGGATTCTATATTTGCTAAGTTGTTGAGCAAATTATCTTACATAGAATCAATTCAGTTTTTGGGAACACAACCACTAATGGACGTCTTGTTCGTGTGCTTACTGTGGAACTGAAGCCATTCATCATTACTACAATATTTAGCGAATGTGTTCCCGAACATATATGACTACTTCTATCAAAACTCGTCATAAATACGCCCCAAATTTAGTTGTTTTTCATATAACTTAATCTCTCATTTCATTGTAAACGAATTCTTTTACACACGCACTGACCATCGAGCTATGCTCCGAATCGTTATAAATTACGCTTTTCTGAAGCTGGTTAAACAATACGGCTATTTCTGTACTCTTTGTGATCTTTTAAGTTATGGTTATTATATGCCTCAAGAGATGGCGATATTATAATCCAACAAATATAGAGACTTTATGTGAAACTCTTATATGTGTGTGTGGAGCAAAGCAAAAATATTTTTAAAAAATCCACGAGGAACACACGAGTTAGAACATAACTGCCCACTAGGGGATGGAACTTTGGTAACAAAATAAAGACCTGTAGGGGAAGAAATGAGAGGCAAAATACATTAAAGAAGAGACGTTTTTAAATTAATAATATTTCATGGAAAATGTGTTAAGTTATTTGTAGTTATACTCAAGAATATCATAAAAAATACAAATATTTACGCAACTTCTTATGCAAAATAAAAATGATGAGTAGCTAAACATCAAAGTTAATTATATATACATGTACTCTTTTTTTTTTTGGGGGGGGGGTCTTACCCTGGCTGTTAACCATAATTTCTTCCATAATCCCAATATCTCACGAGGTTCGGCCAGCATAGGAAATTTAGTTCAGTCATAAGTCCATA